TGCGGACGAAGGTGGCCGAGGACCAGTGGCAGGGTGAGGGGGAACTGGGAGTGGCTGGGCCTGAGTCCAGGGTCCCAGCCAGCAGGTGGGGAGTGGGCTGCAGGGGCTCACTCCCTGCCTGGGCTGAGTCTGTCTCTGGACTCATGTGTGGTCCCCCCACCCCAGGACCTCCGAAGGGGACCTTCTCAGGATGTGTCTAGTAAGGACGAGACCACACTGGTGGGCCCTGGGCCTGACAGGTGCTTGTAAGGGGGATGTGGGGGCAGACGCGGCACTCTGCCCACGCCTCAGGGAGGGCCACCCTGACACATCCGGGCCCGGCAGGGAGACGCTGACCCAGGTCTGTCCTGACGTCGTGTGACCTCAGCAAAACCTGCCGTCCAGTCTAGCACCAGCACATGGCTGACACCTACGTCCATGCAGGCCCCATAGCCACTGTCTTCTCCGCCTGGCTCCAAGGCCTAGCCCTGTCAGCCGGCCACCAGGCCCTCTGCAGGGTGCCTGCACACAGCCCTAGTGGATGCCAGCTGGTGCAGAGCCACGGTGCACCCAGACCGACCGTCTGGTCCCCTGCTGGGATACACGGTGACCTCTCAGTGGGACGTGGTCACCAGCTCCTGCCCCTCCTTGCATCCTGGTGGCAGGTCCCCAAGCTGCTGGGAGCCAGGTCCCTGGGCCGTGTCAGGCTGGACCGTGTCTGTAGGGAGCTGTGGGCAGGAAGGCCAAGGAGGAGGCTGGGAAGGATACCCAGTCGAGAGACCTTGAATGGGCCCGAGAGGTGGAGGCCAGGGCCAGGACGGTGGACTGGGCGGCCCCTGGGGCCTGGGCTGCAAGGCCCCACTGCAGGCCTTGGGCGGACATGATCCAGGCTTGCAAGAAACACGGAGCCGGGACAGAGCAGCCTGACCTGGTGTGACCAAGCGGCCGTCATGCCAGGGCTTCGAGGCCAGCCAGGCTGGGCCCTAGGAGAGTGAGGAGAGCTCTCCAGGCTGTGACTCGCATCTGTAAAAGGGGTCCACCCAACAGCCTCGTGCCTGAACCAGGGTGAGGGGAAGCATGTGCCATGGCTCACCGACTGGCTGCCGTTACCCAGCGGGCTATGCTTGGGCACGGCGCATCCCAGGC